GCTGCTCTGCGGGCCAGGAGGATCCCTGGACACAGCCTGACCCCATTCTCTCTTCTCCTTCTGCAGGCCAGCAATGGGCAGTGGTATCAAATGAATGACCATGAGGTTCGCCCCAGCAACATCAAGGTGGTCCTCAACCAGCAGGCCTATGTGCTGTTCTACCTGAGGTGAGAGAGCCCTGTGCCTCCCAGCCCCTCTGCACCCACTCCCAGTGTCTGGGATGGGGCTGGCAGCGCCTGCCTGGCTAGGGGAGGGAGCTTGGCCCAGGCAGCCCCAATGCCCATGTGCATGAGCTGGCTCGGAGAGGAGTGGTCAGGAAGGGTCCTGCCCCTTGTCATGGCTTTGCTCTAGCACCTCATCTCTGAGTGTCTGGCTCCTGTTCCTCGTGTGTGTCTGCGGAGAGCAACCTGATCACTCACACCCTCACGGCTGAGCCCTGTATTTTGCCTTCCCCAGGCTCTCCAGCCCCAGGAAGAGCTCAACAGGGCCTGTGGCCAAGGCTGCCTCCAGCATGTCCAGCCACATTGACGGTAACTCCAACCAGGTCAAGAAAATTGGGACTAACGGGACCCTGTCCGGATCACCCATGGGCCTGGTGAGTCCTGAAGGCTGCTCCCAGCTGGTGCTCCCAGGAGCTGCTGCTCCACAGGGACCAAGGGCTGCAGGTGTGTGGGAGGGCAGTGTGCGGGAGGTATCCTGATCCTGCTGAGCCTTGGGATCCTGGGTGGGCATGGGGAGGGCAGTATCTCTGTATCTGTGGCTCATCGACTCTCTCCTCACTGAACTTCACTCTTTCTCATTGTCTAGAAACGAGCCGAGCTGCTGGGGAAGGGGCTACCAGGTCTGGATGATGTCGGAGTCCCTGTGTCCCGCAGCGCTCTCGGAACAGGGTTGAAGCTGACAAACGGAATTGCTTCATCTAAGCTGTCTCCTCAGACCCCATCCTCCAAACTGCCCCACAAGGCCACACCATGGCTTCCTGATGCAGCCCAGAAGCCCAAGAAGCTGCAGACACCTGCCATGCCCAGGGCAGGCTTCCATGTCACCAGCAGCATGAGCGGAGCTGAAGCAGGGCTGCCCCGTCATGACTCGGACAGCAAGAAGCCACCTACGTCATCCAAGCTGCTGAAGTCCAACCAAGACCCCAGTTGTGATGGAGCCGTGGCTGGGACCCTGAAGAAGGATTCCCATGGCAGCACGGCAGGGCAGCTGGCCAAGGAGATCCACAAGGCCAAGAGCAATTCCAGCAGCTTCTGCACCTCTCAGGGAAGGGACTCTGGCACCCACCTCTCTGCTGGCCCTGGTGCCAAGCCAGCTGTCCCCAAAGACTCTGAGCTGGCTGCCCACAAAGTCTCCAAGACAGCCACTGTGAAACCCTCTGTGCTGGGCAGCACCACGTCACCACCAACAGCCAAGAAACTGGCACTGTCTGGCAAAAAGGTGAGTCTGAGCTTCTGCTGAGACACTCCAGTCAATGCTTTGTGCCTCTGAACTGGGGCTGTGTTGGGGGAAGCGTAGTGCTACTGTCAGGCACTTGCTGAGCTGGGGGTGGGTGTGGAGAGCCCCCCAGCCTCCATCCCAGGGCTGTGGCAGCTGCTCTGCCCTCCCTCTGGGTCTGGGTGTGGGGTTAGTCCCCACTGGTGTTCATGTCCCTGAATGATGCAGGGGGGATGGCTCCTGCCTGGGAGTGAGGGATAGCTGTGCCAGTCCCTGCAGTGGGGTGACTGCAGCACCTTCTCGGGGTACATGTCCCCTGGGGTGAGTGGCAGTGGGTGATGCTGCAGCAGGAGGGTGTGTGGGTGCCTCCTCCCTGGGCAGTATGTGGGACTGGCCCTCAGTGCTGCAGTGCAGCCAGAGCTTGGGATGGTGTGCTGGCATTCCGGGTCTCTAAATTTCCTTCCTTCCTTTTCTCCTTTGTTCTTCTAACTGAAAACACTTCTGATTCTCCCACCCCCGCTTCCCTTCCCCTGTCTGTGTCTGTTCCCCTCCCCTTTCTCTGGGCTCCCATTTTTCTTTTGGCTCATGGAAACGTCTCTGCTTTAGACCTAGTTTTTATTTATAACTGCAGGGCAAAACCTGGCAGAAAGTGAGCAGGAGTGACCACCACACACAGTCCCACCCTGCGGACACCACCCACCGTGACTCCACTCCTGAGCCCCTGGGCAAGTCCAGGTAAGCAGTGCCATTCCTCGCAGGCTCCCGCATGGCAGCAAGGCCAGTGGCATCCTTGGGTGCTCTGTGGGGCATCTGTGTGACCTCGCAGCTGGCTCTCCTGTCTCCGGGGCTGGCAGGGCTTGCTGTGGATCCAAGAAGCAAGACAGTCTCTGCCTGTTGACAGAGGGTGGGAGGGAGGTTTGCAGGCCCTGACCCCATACTAGTGTTCTGTGGCATCAGGAGGCACCAGCCTCATCTGGATCTTGCTCCAGGTCTCACTTGTAGCCTTCACCACCTGCATGTGCTTCAGCAATGCTGTCTTTTTCCCAGCCCACTGTGGGACAGCACGTGCCCTGGCACTGGGCTGGTGCAGGATCCCTGTGCATGCTTGCGGAGCAGGGTCTGATGCTGATTTCATGGCTGAGCTGGCAGCAGTTGGGTGTTGTGCTCATGCACCTCAGGGTGGGAAGGAATAGAAGGGCTCCCACTCCTGATCTGGCTTTCAGATCACTCTCTTTTCCTGTCCTTCAAGGCTGTCCTCATCTGCTCTTCAACTACCAAGTCCTGAAAAGTCTGCCTTCAGCTTCATGCTCAGCTTGGCCGCTCAGCTCCCAGCCTCGCCCCCGACCCACAGTTCCACTGCCGATCCTTCACACCATCTTCCTTCCAGCAGCAGGGAGAAAGGATCCAGCCAGGTGGAACCAGAGGGTTCCTGCAAAAAGAGGCGCCGAAAGAGGAAGCATCATAGTGCAAACAGGACTGTGGCTGTGAGGGACATGGATGAAGTCTCCAGTCCCCCCAATAAGGAGAGAATTGTCTCTCCAGAGGACTTCAAAGACAAAGACTCCAGGCCCCCCAAGAGGGAGGTCATTGGCTCTCAGAAGAACTTCATGGATAAAGACTCCGGACCCCCTAAGAAGAAGAGACTTGTCTCTCCAGAGGACTTCGTGTCCAGCCTGGGGAAGGAGGCAGCAGGCCAGAGTCCCAGTGATGCCCCAGACTGTCACGACACGGAAAGCAGGCCCAAGCAGCATGTGTCAGAGCCCAGTGTTGACCTGGGCATGAAGCCAAACTTCTCCCTCAAGAGGAAGAAGAAGAAAAAGAAGAATAAGAGCAAGGAGAGGCCAGTGGAGAAGGCAGAAGAGAACCACTCTGGGATGCTGTCACTGGACAGGTGAGGGACAAGGAGCACACAGAGCCTGAGGTCAGGCTCTCTGGGCTGTGGTCAGGGGCTTCTTTCTGTGCATGGGATGTGCCTCAGCATGGAGCCAGCGGAAGCATCTGCTTCCTGGGGGTGGCTCAGCCCTCTTGAGTGCAGTGTGGGTGTCCCTGTGCCCTGTGGGGAGCTCAGATTCTTCCCCGCTCTGGTCTGTCTGGAACAAGCTGACCCTGCTGCCTTCCCCAGCTCCAGGAGGACTGAACCAGAGCCACAGACACATCAGAGCATGGAGACTGGAGAGCGCAAGCACCGCAAGCGCAAGCGGATGGACAACCTCAGCAGCCCAGCTGCCAACGCTGCCCATGCCACCACCGCCACCCCAGGTATGCCCTGTCTGGTGCCTGGCAGGGCCAAGCCAGCAACTCATCTGCCCATGGGCCCCTTGGAGCACTGCTGTGCTGTCCCCAGCACTCGCTGGTCCCCTGTCCCTGCCCAGGACTGCCTCTGGAGCTCCTGCAGGAGAGCCCAAGAGTCCCTAGCTGTGCCCTGGAGGAGGGGTGGGGACAGGCCCCTGGAGGGGTGACGATTTACCCCCAGGACAGGCTGCAGTGTGCCCAAACACCCTGTGCCATCAGGACCTTGTCTGTCCTGACAGTGTTTGCTGGGGTGAGAGCTGCTTGGAGAGGGAGGGACATGGGAGCTCCCCCTGCTCATCCTCATCTTGCTTGTTTCTGCAGTGGCAACACATGACAAGGATAACCAGACTGGAGATGAGGGACACTCCGTGGCTCCCCTGAACCCTGTGGCCAGGCCCCAGCCCCGGCGGGCCAGGAGTCCAGCGTGGTGGGCGAGCTGCTCCAGAACTGCTTGGACAAAGCTTATGGCAAACAAGGTAATCCTGGCTCATCTGGGTGGGTGAACAGCCATGCAGTCCCCCAGCCCCAAGCCCTGGATGTGGGCAGAGCCCTCTGAGCTCCACCTGTCCCAGTGGAGGCAGTAGCAGGGCTCCTGGAGCTGAGCAGGTGCACCTGGCTAGGAGGCTGTCAGGAGTGGCCCTGCTCAGGTGGGTGCAGTGGGGCACAGCCTGGTGCTTCTGCTGACTGTGCTGCTCTGCAGTCTTAACGTGGCAGGGTGAGATTTCGGCTGTCAGCCAGGATGCTATTCGGGACACAGCATGCGCCCGGAGCGAGACTGTCATCGATGAGTGGGACCAGGAGTTTGACAAAGGAAAAGTGAGTGCTGGCTGTGTGCTGGACTGGGGCAGGGGGAGGAGGGTGGGGACCCTGACCCCAGAGCCTGCTGTCTCTGCACAGGTAAAGAAAATGAGAAAGATGAAGCAGGAGCGGAAGAGAGACTCGAATCCCTTCCAGAAGCTGCAGAACAAGCGGAACTTCTGGTTGATGTCGCATCCTGCCAAGATGGCCAGCCTGGGCCACTGGCTCTGAGGTGAGCAAGCTGGGGGGGCCACAGCGAGCCCAGGAGGCAGGAGGGGGTGGCAGCCTGGCAGGGGGCTAACGCTGCTCCTTGCCCCATAGGTTGAGATGTGCATCCCCCAAACGACTCCTGGAGCAGTCCTGGGTCCAGGACCAGGGGCAGCACTGTCCTTTGAGCTGTTGGTGGACCACACACAGCAAGGAGGGAATACAGCCCCAGCCCTGGGGTCCTGCCCTCCCCTTCTGGGAGCTGCATTTCGAGCTGCATTTCCAGCTGCCGAGG